ATGAGCCTTCCCAGGCCTCGGAGGGGTGCGTTTCTGAGTCAGTGCCTCTCCCTCTTCTAAGGATCAGCAGCTCAGGTCACCCCTCCCTCTGCCTCTGGCTTGGTTAATACTCAAATATTCAGTTGCAGTTCAAGGTCCTGACACAGTGTCAGTCCAGGAGTAATGCACTAAGGTGTCACATAAGGGTTAAAGAGTGGCTGAGAGTGTTAATCAGGAAAGGCCACAGGCAACTTCCCACCCTGTACCTTTTCAGGGCTTCACAAGTAAATGTTCCTGGCAGTGGAAAGGCACTGTCTCTGCCCACTTGGCTGTGATAGGCTGTGCTGGCAAATCCTCCAGTGCCAGGCTCTGAAACATGATCTCAGAATGCACTCAAGGCTTCTATCTTATGGTTCTGAGTGAGACACCAGCACTACTGGTCACAGAAATTACAAGTGTCTTGAAAGAAAATTAAAACTTTTATTCTTTTTTTAAATAGTGTAGAGGATTGAATTCAGAGTCTCCACACTGACTGTATCCTCAGTCCTTTTTACAATTTTTGAATTTTAAGTTGCCTAGGCTGGGCCTAAACTTGTGATTCCATTGCCTCACCCTCCCAGAGTGCTGAGATTTCAGGCGTGTCCTGACCTGTGAATCCTCACCTAGAATTTATTAACTTGTGAAGAAAGGAGTGGCTCCAGGATGAGTGGCAGTGAGGATGGTGGGAGTCTGTGAGCTAGCTTAGCGAGGAGGCCAGGAAGCACTCCTGCAATATGCAGAGAGAAGGATGTGCAGAAAGACCAATTTGCATACCTCAACTGGGGCAGCATTTAACTGTTTAGAAGACTGATTCTTCAGTTCCTGAGACATAAATTTTTATGCCCTGGGAAGTTGTAGCCTCTCATGTTGAGGCTCCAACCCAGTTGACATTGCTGGAGCTATGTGGCTCTGCCATCCTTCTATGCTCCACTGTTTATAGGGAGGCACGAGGTGAGGACACAGGAAACTGTCAGCTGGTTTCACAGACTACACATTAGCACCTCAGCTAGCCCTATTTACACTCTTAAAGCCAATAGAAGGGAGAAAGAAATAGCTTAGCCAGCTCTGTACATATCAGTACATGGAGATAGGGCCCAATTTAACTAATGCGGAGGTAATAGTTCTGCATTCAAGGAGGGCCATCCAAGTGGTGTTCTGCACGTATGAACACACCTGGTTTGAAAACTAACCTTTACATGGCCACTGGCCCAAAGGAATGGTATCAACAGATTATGGAGTGGGGCCACCAAAACAAACCTTTTTTCCTTAACAATTGATTGCCTCACGTGTTACAGTGACAGCAAAGATGAAAGTTATTCTTGAGTACGACCTATCAGAAGAGTCTATCATTACTGCAGAGCCAAGAATATCATAGGGGGAAAATGTTTATACTATTAAGAGACAGCAACACAGGAGCAGAAGCTGGGTTTATAGTTGGGAACTGATTAAAGGATATTTTCCTAATTTCATAGTAATTATGCTGTTGAACCTGGTTAATATAAATGTACTTGTAATAACCACCATTTTTTTTAAATAACCACCAATTTTATATATCTTTGTACATAGTGTTGGTTAAGACTTGAGGTTTTATTATTTAGGTTTTTAAGACAGTGTCTCATTATGTTGCTGAGGCTGAGTTTGAATACATCATCCTTCAGCTTTATCCTTTATCCTTCCAGGTAACAGGGATTACAAGTACACACTGTTGTATCCAGCTTAGTGTCTTTTTTTGTTGTTGTTGGAACTGGGAATTGAACTCAGGGCCTTTCCATCTTTTTAGTCTTACTTGGTGGCAGGACCACAAACACACTAAAGAGAACATTTTTAGTTTTGCTGTTTAACATCCATTTTGGCTTATATCTTTGTTTAGCACTATGATTTTTTTGGTGGGGCTGTGAAAATCTTTTTTTCCTCCACTGTGTAGTAATTCCTTTTTGGGGCTGAGGATTTAGCTCAGCGGCATAAGCGCCTGCCTTGCAAGTGTGTGGTTGTGAGTTCGATCCACACTGCAGTTTGAGTGTGCTCAAAAAAGACAAAAAAAATTTTTTTAAAAAGTAATTATTTTTTTTTGACTGTCAGTTAAGCTGATTCCCTAAATTGAGGGATAGGATTTGTTTAACAGTTGTAGTTAATTTTATGTATCCACTTGACTGAGCCATGGGGTACTTAGATACTCGGTCAGCCATTGTTTTATGTGTATTTGTGAGGGTGTTGCCGGGTTAGTTTAACACCTGAATTACCTACTACATAGAATATTATGTAGTAGAGTGAACTATTATTGGGTCATAAAAACAAATGAACCAGGAAAAAACTGCAATGGAAATTTAAACCTATATTCTAAGTGACAGAACCCAACCTAATAAGGCAGCGTACTATAGGATTCCCACGGGGAAGGATAAACAGGATCTTACTCTTTTAAGGATTTTAGGGCAGCAAAACTATTCTATATAAGACTGTAAGTGTGAAAACATAGAGTGATTCATGGTGAACCCTAATGTAAACTGGATTTTGGGTGGTAATAATGTGTCTGTATTGATTCACTGATCATAACAAATGCATTATAATGATAAGGGGATGTTGGTGGCATGGGATGCTGAGGAGAACATGGTATGGAAAATCTTGTAATTAACAGTTTTTATGAGAACCTAAAAGTGCTCAAAAAATGAAGCCCATTAACTTAAAAAAAAAACCCAAAGTTTACTTTTAATGATGCTTTCCAGTCAAGGCTTGCTGAATGCAAACCACCATGATTTGACCATTGAAAGTCTAATTCAAAAGAGAAAGAAACTGCTTCAAATGCAAACATTGTTAAAGTTAGGTGTCAGGAATGGCACCTTCTTGCTAGGGAACTTATAATTCCTCCCCTGTGCCTCCAAATAATAAGTGAGCACAACCTACATGTGCACAAGATTCCTTGGTGGTATGACATGTGCACGTGACATCTGTACTTTCAATTTGATTGTTAGCCTCTGTTCCTAAAGATTTGAGCACCTGAGAATTCTTGCCTGTAAGAACAAATCTGGGGCCCAACTCTTTCTGTTTCCTCAGTGTTTCCCTAACGTTTTTAGTTTCTTTTCACACTGGGTCTCACTATGTGGTTAAGGTTGGCTTTGAAGTCCCTATGTATCCCAGGCTGGCCTTGAACTCATGGTGATCCTCCAACTTCAGCCTCCCAAATGCTAGGACTACAGGCGTATGCCACCATGACTGCCTTCCTGAACAATGTGTGAATTATGGCCCAAGACTTTAGGGTCTTCCTAGGAAGCTAGAAAGGACCACAATCTCATCCCATTTTTAAAGTTCTCTCTCTCTCTCTCTCTCTCTCTCTCTCTCTCTCTAGCTCTGTGTGTGTGTGTGTGTGTGTGTGTGTGTGTGTGTATGTGATGACTTCACGTTCATAGAAAAGAAATAACAAACAATCTACTCTAAAGTAAGGTCTAAAATGCTTTGGTGACCTTTATCTAGCCTTGCGTTTCCTGCTGGAGACAAGTTCCTGGTGTACAGTGTCTACACTGGCCTCTGCAATCGAGGGTTCTTAGTAAGCTCAAATTTGTTAGCTGCTGAGGACTGAACCATCCTTTCACTACCTAGATTCAAAAATCCAACCCTCAAGGCTGGATTATAGTGTGTCTCAATCAGAAGCCTCAGGCCCTGCCGTTTTCTCTTGTAAATCAATCATAGAAGGAAACAAACGTCTGTGTAGCTACAAAGCCTGTTAGCCAATGCTGTCCCTCCCCTGATATTTCTATCATCTGGGAGAAGAAAGGTCAAGCTACTAAACCGGCTGAGGCCCCAGAGTGTTTCATTTCCGGCTCTTTGACTAACATAGCAGCCTGACTTCAGATCACTCACAGTGCCTCTCTGAGACTCAGGAGTTGGTGAGAGAATTCAGGCACAGAGATTGTGCGGACACCTGGAAACTCAGGTAATGATCTGTGTGCCTAGGTTACCTAGAGCCTAGTCATCCAAGTTTCTTTAATCATATAAATCCCTGTAATCATCCTCAAATACATTTTGAGTTGTGAGTGCAGGATTTCTCCCCCCTAAGCTGGAGTATTCCCTCCCTTAGTCATATGCAGCCTGGGAAGATTTCTCAGAAATTACTTGCATCATTAGGGCTCACCTGACAAACCAGATTTTCTTCATTGCTGGTAAAGCCAGGGCTGTGCTAAGAGGAGAACCCTGGGAAGGCACATTTGGAGCTGACATGTAATATTCAAGTGTTTTTCAGGCTATGGGTACACGTAAATTGTTTTTTTGTTTGTTCGTTTTGCTTTTGTTTTTAATGAAACAGGAAACAATACCCTTGGTATGTTCTGAGGTGAATATAGTTTCATGACATTTTTGATCCTGGCTGTATCTGAACTTGACCTTCATATAACATACACTTATTTTTTCCTGGGCATCTCAATCAGCAAAGTTTATAAATCACTGATCATATGTGTGTATTTATTCTTTGTATAATAAAATTAAATTATAAGGCTGTCAAAACGTCAGTGATCAAGCATCTGGACATCAAGCCTCTAGGAGACCATCTGTTCCTTTTCCAGTTGTTTGTGCTGCAAACCAGCTGCCTACTGGGTGATTTTCCCTGTCCTCAAACTCAGCCAGTGGAGCCCCCTTGCCAGCAACTGATGACCCAGACCTACAGTGATCTGAAACCTGTAAGGATGGCCGGGTGGTGCTGCAGGAAATCTAGTAGCACTTGGCAGGCCTTCCTTTTGTTTCAGAAGCTTTTATGCAAATATGAAATGAAAATGTTAGGAACTGCACAAAGTAAGTCTGCTTAATTTTGGTTCTCCACCTGAGAATCTTAGTAATTTTTTTTTCGTATCAGGGATTGAACCCAGGACTTCACTGTTGCCAAGCAGGCACTTGTGCCGCTGACCTAAACCCTGGACACCAAGTCAGAATCTCTACTCCTCCATTTTCTAAAACCACTTGTAATGAGAAATGGTCAAACTGACTCCATCAAGGCTCACCTCTCCCAGTGCACAAGTATCTGCATTTGTGACATTCCAGAAGTCCTTGAGCCTCTGACTGGTAATATTCCACTTCCTCTCCTCCAGCACTGGGGTGTGAGGGCACATATCTCCCGGAAGCGAGTTTGCTATAACTGGAAAACACATGTAGGCATCAGAAATGGGCTTCCAATTTGGTGACTTGCTTAGTATTATAACTTGGGATTCGGATAGACTGAAACATTATGGAATGTACAGAACAGACACACAGGTGGCCTCACGATTTTAGACTCCAGAGAATTCTCTGGGTAAGAGCCCCACAGGACAACTGAGTGTGTGGCCCATCTCTGCTGAATAACCTACTACATGTCCTGTAATCCCATGAATCTGAGCACGACCACCTTTGATGCCACTTTGTTCAGCTGCTTGCTGGGCTGTCTAACCAGGCAGCTGTGAATCAGCTTCTTTGGGAGCTTAAATTCTCAGTTCAGCATGAGCCAGGACTCTTCAGGCCTCATTGTATTCAGAAGGCCTGACTGTCACCTGGTTTGGCATTCTCTTTTGTCCCTGACTTTGGAATTTCTCCAGCTGCATGGAAACTAGAGGCCACCTCAGAGACCTTCTGCTATCTCTTCCTCTGCTATCCTTGGTACTTTCAGTTTCTTCTCTCCTCCCTTTATTGAGCACAGAGTGGTCTTTGTCCAAGACTTAAAGGAGGCTGCATTCTACTTGCTGAGCTCCAGGGATCTTTGTAGAACACAGTGGGCATTCTGTCTGTGTTATGTTTGAGACTGTTGAAGAGTGTAACTCCTCCGAGGGGGCCTTTGTACATCTCTCTGCACTCATAAGCTCCCACTCACAGATGCAGTTTCCCCTTGCCCAGACTTGATGGTCTCTACCATGCTTCTGGGTCCCCGCCTCTTCCAGCCTTCCTTTCCTGCTCCTCCAGAGCTCAGCCTGAGGTCTAGCAGCTCACTGGAGCCAGGTCTGGAGCCCAGCCCTGTTCTGTCCAAGTTCCTCCTGCAGTGAGGTCCATCATACTTCTCTGAAGCTGCCCCATTGTGTAGCTCCATCCCTGCATCCTGACCACTAAACAAATGTCTCAGTGGAGAAGAGCCAATAATAAGGTAACTTTTGATTTGCAGCCTCCAATCTGTTGTGAGCAAAAGCAGCAGAACGCAAAAAGTATTTCCTTCACTCATTGTGGGATGAGATGGAGTGGGGTGGGGGAACTGGGTCTGTAGTTTATAAGGAAACCTACAGATGTAGCTCGTGACTTCCTAGTCATTCAGTTGCAGTATGATGTGGCTTAAGCCTGAATAGTAGCAAGGGCCAGTGACGTATCAGGCAAGCCCTTTGCCCTGGTAGTTGGTTTTAGATAATATAACATAAACTCAGGATAGTAGCTTTCACACTGTGCAGAAGACTGGGCTCACCCTCCCAGGTCCCCCAGGAAGGCCAGGTGTCAAAGGCAGAAGGCAACCATGGCCCCAGGACCTGTGTCCTTGTGGGGTGGGTGACATCCCATCTCTTCAGTCCATGAGCCTGGCACACAATCTGCCCATGCAGCAGCATTTGTGCAACTGGACTGAATGTTAGCTCTCTAGGAGGGACGTGGGGACCAGACCCCATGCTCTCCTGGCTCACAAAGTCTTCCAGAACATCTGGATGCTTTCTCCTCACAGGGCTTATGGAAATTCTGTGTCCTTCAAGGCAGAGATAGTGAAGTTTGTTTCTTCAGGAGGGTGAGATCTCAAACAGTTGTCAGATTTAAAAGAAGCTACCTAGGAAGACCTCAGCCCCAAGGGGATGACAGATCTAAGGCTTTGGTGGGAGAAGTTGTGGTAGGCTTAGTTCACCAGATGGAAGGGTAGCTTCTCCCAGATGTTGCTGAAACCCATATGGGCCTGGAAGGGTAGCACACTGCTCTATAAACTCTTCACTGGGCTGACTTTAGAACACAGGACTATGGTCTGCTGCTCTGAGGGACAGTCCTGTGATCACCTGGAGGAGAATTAGAGTGCAGCTTCAGGCTAACTCCACTCACCTCATCTACACTGTTCTCATCTCCCCTGTCACCTGCCTGTCTGGACTGCTTTCTCCCTATGTTTCCCAGACCCTGCAGCTGCAAGTGGAGCGGAAGGTGGAGCGGTTTCTGCTTTATTAATCTGATTCAAATTTACACGCTGGGGGCTCCATTAAGGTTTTGTGTCCCCCTTCTTCCCTGAGAGCCCATAGGGAGAAATGGCATTTGTTCCTTTAAAGCAGCTTTGCTGGACAAGTAGCAGGGGGACCTGGTACCTCTAGGTACCTCTCACTTGGACCCCCTCTCTCACACCCTCACCTTTCGGGTCCATGGCACAGGAAGTCCTCCTTCCTTGGGGGTGGCGCCTCATGGGTTTCCTTAGGCGTGGGCCAGGGGGGCGGGGTCTCGTCCCGGGTGTGCACACGGGGTTCCCCTGGCCTCCGGTTCTGGCGGGACTTTCCCGGGACTCTGTGTTCACCTGCGTGAGGGCCCCGGTCCCTGTGCCGGTCCTGGCGGTCGCGCTCCCTCCTCCTGTCCGGCTCCTCGCGCCGGTCCCCGCCGTTCCTCCGCGCGCCCCCGTTCCTCTCCCTGCGCGGGTCCCCAGCTCGGTCCCGCGCGCGCTCGGGGTGGCGGTCTCGGTCTAGGCGAGGTCGCCTCCCTGGGTCTCGCTCTCTGGGCCTGGCGCGGGGCTCAGGAGTTCCCGTCTCTTCCATGGCCCGGCTCTGTTGACTGAAGGGCAACAGCCAGCCACAAAGTTTACAGGGAAGGCGGCCAGGCCCAGGGCGGGGTGGCGGCGGGCACCTGTGCGCATGCGCACTGTCCTTGCGGCCAGCCTGGTGCATGCACCTGAGTCCTGCAGGTGGGGTGCGAGTGGATGACTCGTGGAGGACACCGCAGGACTTACTGCCCCAATTTGGGGCAGAACCCACAGCCTTCCCCATACTGTGCTGAGAAGGGTTCCCTTGGTGACCTTGCAAGGTGGGCAGACCAGGGAAGCCAACTCTGGCCACCTCCTGCGGGTCACCTTACACTGTAGGCTGGGGTTGCTTTCCCGCAGCGGATCTACCAGCTTGCTCAGCCATCCACTCACATTCACAGCCCCCCCCCATCCACTGTCTGTCTTCCTCTTTTCATCTAACCATAGCAGTATAGGGAGCTCTAGCCCAGGTCGTGTTTTACCATAGTCCCAGGTTTAGCAATACCTTAAAAAATGAAGAACTGTACATAACTGGCAGCTTTGTATTTTGCCAAGTCAGGATATTTACATAGAAAATCGGCACCTGCCGATGAGTTCTTTTTCCAAGTGAGTATGAGCACCTGTACTCTGCAGCTGTACAGGGCTGGCGATGCAGTGGGAGCTCTCCTTGTGTAGACAATAAACAAAGAAGGAAGACAATGTGGGAACCTAATGGGAAGGGCGGGTTTCTTTATATAGATCTGGGAGTAACTCCCTGAATTACCTTTAAAGGTGTGTTTCAAAGTAACTGAATTCTGAGGAAATGCCTGTTTGGAGGCCCGCTCTGTGAGGGCTGCATGTGAGCCTGGTGACTCCATGGGTGTGGCCTGGTCCCCATCCTGCCTGACACAGAACATAGGCTACAACTGGGCTAAGAAATATGTTCCTTGAGCAGGCTTTTATTTTGATTTGTTTTTTGAGAGAGGGTCTCATTTGTTTTTTGAGATAGGGTTCAGACTGGCCTTGAGCCCACTCTGTAGCCCAGGCTGGCCTCAAACTCGAAGCAGTCCTCCTGCCTCAGCTTCCCAAGTGCTGGGATTACAGACATCATCCTGGTTAACAGGTCCTAAAATGGGCCATTTACAGGTCATAGCAAGAGGAAATACCTTTTCTGAGTTTAGGTAAGGCCTTTGCATTTGTTCTAGTTTATATCTAAAATTCCCTCCCATTAACTCACGTGGAGTTTTTGACAGGTGATTGGGTCAGGATCCACTACATTCATCAGTGGATTAATCCATCAATTAGTTTATGGCTGAATGTGCTGTTTGGCAGTGAGGCATGAGGAGAAGTGGTTCACTGAAAGAATATATTCTTTTTTTTATTATTTAAAAAAAAGATAAATAAAAGAGGACATAACAAAACAGGTCAGGACAGAATAATTTAAACAACATAGTGTTTCACCGCAAGACAACCTGACATAACAGTAGCTACCATAGTGTCTCTTTCCTTCAAATATTTGAGTATACCTTCATACACTATAGTATCAAACAGAAGACACTGTAAAACAAGAAACAGTGTAAAACCATTCAAGAGTTGGAAAGTATTACAGGATATTCAGAACCAACTAACAGAAAATGAATAATGGTTACTATATTATCTCCTTGTCCATAAAAAAATTTTGTTTATACTATCATATCTAATAAAATCCAGCAAGATACAACATGATAAAACCGATGGAGACAGAAGAACAAAAGCTTGGTGGGACTTCAAAACAAGATGATATTAAATCAGCACTAACTATTATAATGTTTTCTTCAAAATAGCTGTTCATACCATCAAAGACAATAAAATCAAACAACTCAGAATAAAGCCATGTTAATTAATGAATGAAAACATTGTAAGGCTTCAAAGCAATATAATAGGAAATCATGATTATTACATACTTTTATATATTCTTACCACTATATTTTATATATTCTTACCACTATATTTTATATATTCTTTTTTTTGTATTTTTTTTGTCTTTTTTCATTTTTATCGGTACCAGGGATTGAACTCACGACCACCTGCTTGCATTGCAGGTACTTATGCCGCTGAGCTAAATTCCCAGCCCCTATTTTATATATTCTTACCACTTCTTACACTAGGGAAACTATTCAGTATTTATACATGCGAGTTTGATTTATTTCACTTATGAGTATGGTCTCAAACTGTGTCCATTTATTTATAAATATCTCACTGTGATCATTCTTTATAGCTGAGTAGTACTCCTGTATAAAAATACCACATCTTGTTTATCCATCCCTCAGCTGATGGACACTTAGGTTGTTTCCAAGATCTGGCTATTACAAATTGTGCTGCTATAAACATGGGTGCACATATATCACTGTGGTATGACATTTTCAGTTCTTCTGGGAATATGCCTAGAAGTGGAATAGCTGGGTCAAATGGGGCTTCCAGTCCCAGCTTTTTGAGAAATCTCCAGACTGACCTCCACAATGGTTGTACTAGTCTACACTCTCACCAACAGTGCAGGAGAGTTCCTTTTTCCCCATAGCCTCTCCAGCATTTGTTGTTGGTAGTTTTCTTGAGCCTGGCCATTCTTTCAGGAGTGAGATGGAATCTCAGTGTGGTTTTAATTTGCATTTCTCTAATGAGTAATGATGATGAACATTTTTCATGTATTTGCCATTTGTATTTCTTCATCTGAGAATTGTGTATTCATCTCAGATACCCATTTTTGGATTGGATCTTTGAATTTTGGGGGTCTGATTTTTAAAAATTCTTTATATGTTTTAGACAGAAGTCAAACCAGCAGCCAGTATCATACTAAATGGCCAAAATTGAAGGCCTTTACCTTAAAATCAGGCACAAGACAAGGATGTCCCTTATCACCACTCCTACTTAATATAGTACTGGAAATACTAGCCAGAGCAATTAGACAAGAGAGAGAAATAAAAGGAGTAAAGATAGGAATAGAGGCAGTTAAATTATCATTATTTGTGGATGACATGAACTCAACATAGAAGACCCCCAAAACTCCATTGAAAGACTCCTACATATAATAAATAAATTCAGCAATGTAGCTGGATACAAAATCAATGCTCAAAAATCGATAACATTCCTATACACTAACAGCAAAATCACACAGAGAGAAATAAGAGAAGCCACACCCTTCACACTAGCAACCAAAAAAAAAATTAAAAAAAAAAGAGAAATATTTAGGAATTATTCTCATGAAAGAAGTGAAAAATCTATATAGGGAAAATTATAATACACTGAAAATAGAAATTGAAGAGGATCTCAGAAAATGGAAAGACATCCCTTGCTCATAGATAGGAAGAATAAATATTGTGAAAATGGCCATTCTCCCAAAATGTTATAGAGATTCAATGTAATTGCAATGAAAATACCATCAATATACTTCATAGATCTAGAGAAATCACTCCTAAAATTCATCTGGACCCTGAAGAGACCTAGAATAGCAAAGACAGTAGAATAGCAAAGGCAAGGCAGGAGGCATCACAATCTTGACTTGAAGTTATACTACAAAGCAGCTGTAGTAACATCAACATGGTGCTGGAATCAAAACAGAGCCGAAGATCAGTGGAGTAGGTTAGAAGATACAGCCACAACTACAAACACACTCAACCACCTTATCTTTGATAAAGAGGCCAAACATGTTCACTAGAAGAACGACAGTGTCTTTAATAAATGGTGTTGGAAAAACTGGCTTTTATATGCTAAAAACTAAAACTAGACCCATGCCTTTCACCATGTACTAAATTAAAATCTAAATGGATCAAAGATCTGAATATTAAAACCGAAACACTAAATCTATTGGAAGACAAACTGGGTAAAAACCTTGAAGACATAGGGGTAGGTAGAGAATTCATGAACAGGAAACAAACTGCACAGGAACTACTTCCCAGAATCAATAACTGGGGTCACATCAGTTAAAAAGTTTCTGCATGTAAAAAGAAATCTCCAGCATAGTGAAAAGAAAACCCACAAAGTGGAAGGATATATTCCTTTTTTTTAGGTTTTTTATTTTTTATTCTTTTAAAAAGTAAAACAAACAAGGATAACAAAGATACAGAATTTCAAAAAAAATCAACATTAGTTAATTTATTGCGTATTGTTATCTTAGAAGTAGTTGTTCAGGTTACAAGATCTAGACATAAAAATGATCAAACAATCAAACAATAAAAGCACAAACTGTTTTTTATTTTTAAATTTTATTTTGAAAGTGGTAAAATACAACAGAACAAGACAGAATAATGCCAACTAAGATCGGACAGTGAAATTGGTACAGAACTTCACAGCAGGTTACCGGGATAACAGTAATAGGTATCACAGTATATTTTGTTATCTTTATAATAGTTCTTTCAATCATGTATATCAAAATGAGATGAAATACAGAACATTATAGAACTTATCAAAACAATATTGAATAGAGCAGTACCATTAATCAGACTAGAGCAAAACAGTAATAAAAATATTTGCCTTCAAAGAGATGGTAGAAGAAAGTCCCCCTTATTTGCTAGGTCAACCTCCCAGGAAATGCCCAGATTGCAGGTTCCCATTTGCTAACGGGGGGGTGGGGAGCAGGAGAGAAGGGTAGGGGAAGTGGGATGTTTGGCTCTAGGCTGTGCACCAGTAGGTTCACTATTGCTTAGCAGGGAGGCAGGCTGGTTGTTTGGTTTCCCAGTGTCCTAAGTTCCAACATGGCGCAGATCTCAGGAGCTGCTGGTGGTTCTCCTCCTGAAAGGGCCGCAGTCTGCCACCCCACCACCGCTTACCAGGGAGGGGAGGTGCTTGCTTTCAAACTGTTCTTTTTGATGAACTAATAGATTAGTAGTATAATTATCTAGTATATATACATTTATATGTATATACATATAATTTTTTCCCTTCTTCCTTTCTCCTTTCTCCTATCCCAGTGGTTTTTCCCTTTTGAGCATTTTCTTTCCTTTTCATTATTGCAATATCTATTGTGCATTTTGGATCTTATTACTCTTTCAGTTTTCTTTTACACTAGGGAGACAATACAATATTCATAAATGTGAGTTTGATTTATTTCACTTATGAGTATGATCTCAAGTTGCCTCCCTTTATCTATAAAACT